TGTGTACAGCGGAGTCTACGGAGTAAAACAGTACCCCTCCTCCCCCCATGTACAGGTATTAGGGTGTCTCGGAAAGTTACAGGGTTAAATATAGTGCTAGCAAATTAAATTCTCTGGATTTCGGCCTGGTTCGTCTGGCAGGTCAATTCTAAAAAAACAAAAAATGAAAGTGTAGGTACACTGAAAACAGAGATGGGTCTGTTAGTCAATGAAGACCAGGAAAAGGCAGAAATTTTAAATAACAATTTTTCTTCAGTATATATTAATGACGGTCCTATGGAAAGAGATAAGCAAATGATTGCTGCAACAAACTTGCAGATAACTTGTGATTGGATAACTTGAGACAAGGTGCTACAGCTATTAAAGAAAATTAATGTAAATAAAGCTCTGGGGCCTGACGGTATCCACCCACGAGTACTTAAGGAGCTAAGTGGGGAAATAAGTGAACCTCTGTATTTAATTTTTCAAGATTCTTTTGTTTCAGGTATTGTACAGGAGGATTGGATTAAGGCAGATGTTGTTCCTATATTTTAAAAGGGTTCAAAATCCTTGCGTGGAAATTATAGACCTGTGAGCTTAACTTCTGTGACTGGGAAATTATTTGAACAGCTATAAAGGGATAATATTCAGGAATTCATTGGGAAGAACTGTGTTATTAGCAATAATCAGCATGGTTTTATGAAACATAGGTCATGTCAAACTAACCTAATTGCATTCTATGAAGAAGTAAGTAGAAGTATAGATGAGGGTGTTGCAGTGGATGTGATCTACTTGGATTTTGCCAAGGCATTTGATACGGTTCCTCACAATAGGTTAATCTTCAAACTAAAAGAAACTGGTCTAGATGAATATTCTTGTTCTTGGGTAGAACATTGGCTTAAGTAATGAGTACAACGAGTTGTCATTTATGGTAAATTTTCAAGCTAGACAAAAGTGGTAAGTGGTGTCCCTCAGGGTTCTGTTTTGGGACTGCTTCTATTTAACATATTTATAAATGATCTTGAAATGAGCATTGAAAGCCATGTATCAGTGTTTGCAGATGACACAAAATTTTGTAAAGTAATAAAATGTGAGCAGGATATTGCCTTACTGCAGAGGGATTTGGATAGATTGAGGGACTGGGCACTAAAATGGTACATGAAATTTAACATAGAGAAATGCAAAGTTATGCACTTCGGGGTTAAGAATGCACAAGCAATTTACACCCTAAATGGTAGTGAACTAGGGATAACCACACACGAAAAGGATTTGGGAATTGTTATAGACAACAAATTAGGCAGCAATATGCAATGTCAATCTGCCGTTGCTAAGGCCAGTAAGGTTTTGTCATGTATAAATAGGGGCATAAATTCTCGAGATGAAAATATAATTTTGCCTCTTTATAAATCTCTGGTAAGACCACACCTTGAATATGCTGTGCAATTTTAGGCACCTGTTCTAAAGAAAGATATCATGGCACTAGAAAAAGTGCAGAGATGAGCTACAAAATTGATAAAAGGAATGGAGCATTTTAGTTATGAAGAAAGGTTAAAACATTTAAATCTCTTTAGTTTGGAAAAACGGTGCCTGAGAGGGGATATGATAACATTATACAAATATATTTGGGGCCAGTACAAACCATTATTTACATAGTTACATAGTTACATAGCTGAAAAGAGACTTGCGTCCATCAAGTTCAGACTTCCTCACAATTGTTTTTTGCTGTTGATCCAAAAGAAGGCAAAAAAAAACAGTTTGAAGCATAATTTTGCAACAAGCTAGGAAAAAAATTCCTTCTTGACCCCAGAATGGCAGTCAGATTTATCTTTGGATCAAGCAGTTATTACCCTACATTGAAAGATTATATCCTTGAATATTCTGTTTTTGCAAGTATGCATCTAGTAGCTGTTTGAACATCTGTATGGACTCTGATAAAACCACTTCTTCAGGCAGATAATTCCACATCCTGATTGTTCTTACAGTAAAAAAACCTTTCCTTTGCCTTTGACGAAATCTTCTTTCTTCCAGTCTAAACACATGGCCTCGTGTCCTCTGTAAAGTCCAGAATATATTTGTATAATGTTATCATATCCCCTCTCAGGCGATGTTTTTCTAAACTAAATAGGTTTAAATTTGTTAACCTTTCTTCATAGCTGATATGTTCCATTCCTTTTATTAATTTTGTAGCCTGCCTCTGCACTTTTTCTAGTGCCATAATATCCTTCTTTAGAACAGGTGCCCAAAATTGCACAGCATATTCAATATGGGGTCTTACCAGTGATTTATAAAGAGGCAAAATTATATTCTCGTCCCGGGAATGAATGCCCTTTTTCATGCATGACAATACCTTACTGGCCTTGGCCACTGCTGATTGACATTGCACATTGTTGCATAGTTTGTCTATAACAATTCCCAAGTCCTTTTCATGTGTTGTTATCCCTAATTCGCTTCCATTAAGGGTATACGTTGCTTGTGTATTCTTTACGCCAAAGTGCATAACTTTGCATTTTTCAACATTAAATTTCATCTGCCATTTGAGTGCCCAGTTCCCCAGTCTATCTAAATCCCTCTGCAGCAAAGTAATATCTTGCTCACATTGTATTATTTTACAAAGTTTTGTGTCATCTGCAAACACTGAAACATGACTTTCAATGCTTGAAAATTTACCATTAATGACAACTCTTTGTACTCTGTTTTTAAGCCAATGTTCTACCCAAGAACAAGCATTTTCCTCTAGACCGATTTCCTTGAGTTTAACCACTAATGTATTGTGTGGAACTGTATCAAATGCCTTGGCAAAATCCAAATAGATCACATCCACGGCAACACCCTGATCTATACTTCTACTTACTTCTTCGTAGAACGCAATCAAGTTAGTTTGACATGACCTGTGTTTCATAAAACCATGCTGATTTTTGCTGATAACCATGTTTTTCTCCAGGAATTCTTGAATATTATCCATTAATAACCTTTCAAATATTTTACCAGCCACAGAAGTTAAGCTCACAGGTCTATAATTTCCAGGCAAGGATTTTGAACCCTTTTTGAATATAGGAACCACATCTGCCTTCCTCCAATCCTCCGGAACACTTCCTGAAAGAAAAGAATCTTGAAAGATTAAAAACACTTATTTCTACACTTAGTTCCTTAAGTACACGTGGATGGATATCGTCAGGCCCTGGAGCTTTGTTTATATTAACTTTCTTTAGTTGCTGCAGCACCTTGCCTTGAGTTAACCAATTACAATTATTCTGCAAGTTTTTAGTAGCAATCATTTGCACATCTATTGCCATGGGTTCTTCCTTAATATATACGGAGGAGAAATAGTTATTTAAAATTCCTGCCTTTTCCTGGTCTTCATTAACTACCACCCCCGTTTCAGTTTTTAGTGTACCTACACTTTCATTTTTGGGTTTTTTAGAATTTATGTACTTAAAAAATGCTTTGGGGTTGCTCTCTTTAGCTATCATTTTTTCATTTTGAAGTTTGGCAAGTCTTTTTACACGCATTATTTGCTTCCTTATATCTTTTATAAGATGCATCCGATTTGTCGGATTTAAATGCTTTAAATGCCCTTTTCTTATTTTTAATCTCTTGTTTTACTTCTCTACTAAGCCACATTGGTTTTAATTTGTTTCTTTTATATTTATTTCCCAATGGTACATACTGAGAAATGTACCTTCTCATTTGTTGTTACATCCATTTTATCCTTCATGCTTACTAAGGAGCTTGCCAGTCAATATATTGTAAAGCTTCCCTTAACTTATTGAAATTGACCTTTTTAAAATTATATGTTTTAGTATTCCCCATGTGCTTTTGTTTTTTTGAGTTTATTTCAAAGGACACTATATTGTGATCACTATTTCCCAAGTGCTCACCTACTTGAATGTTGGTCAAAGATCAACGTTGTTTGTTAAAACCAGGTCCAGACAAGGATCCATTCTAGTTGGTGCTTGTACAAGTTGTGACATGAAGGTGTCATTTAACAAGTTTAAAAACCTAATTCCTTTTGCTGAGCTACTAGTCCCTCTGTCCCAATTTATGTCTGGGTAATTAAAATCTCCAATAATTAAAGTGTTACCCAGATTTGCAGCTTTCTCAATTTGCTCAAACAGCTGTTGTTCCTCGTCAATATTAATATTAGGTGGTTTATAACATATCCCAACCAATAGTTGGTTTCCCTTCTTTTCCCCAAAGCAGATATTTACCCATAAAGCTTCCACATTTTCCTCATCGCATTCCATTTGCTTAAGATTTGGCTTTAAATCATGGTTGACATACAAACATACTCCACCACCCTTCTTGTTTTTCCTATCCTTCCTAAATAACATGTACCCATTTAAGTTAACTGCCCAGTCAGGTGTCTCATCCCACCATGTTTCAGTTATGCCTATTATATCATATTGTTTAGTGTATGCTAATGCCTCTAGTTCCCCCATTTTGTTATTTAGGCTCCTTGCATTAGTAAGCATACATTTAATATTATGCGTCACTTTTATATTATCTGGAAATCTATTCATAAACAGGGCATGAGGTCACACATTTAGGCTTAAAGAAAGGAGATTTCATCTAAGGCAAAGAAAAGGTTTTTTTACAGTAAGAGCAATAAGGATATGGAATTCTTTGCCTGAAGAGGTGGTTTTGTCAGAGTCTATACAGATGTTTAAACTGCAATTGGATAAATACTTGCAAAAACATAACAAATAGGGATATAATTTCTAATTAGTGGGGTAATAGCTGCTTGATCCAAGGAGACATCTGACTGCTATTTTGGGGTCAAGAAGGAGTTTTTTCCTAGTTTGTTGCAAAATCGGAAGCACTTCAGACTGGGTTTTTTGCCTTTTTTTGGATCAACAGCAAAAACATACGTGAGGAAGGCTGAACTTGGTGAACGCAAGTCTCTTTTCAGCTATGTAACTATTGTGTCGGCCTTTAGGATCAGGAAGGCCCCTGCGGTACCTGCAGACACACCACACGACATCATAGTGGTAACTCGAGACATAACCGTGAAGTCCACCATTATGCCGCGCTCCAAGCAACAACCAAGCCTGCTAATTGCTAACAACAAGATCACAGTTTACGATGACTTACCCTTCTCCGTACTCCTCGACCGGCGCAAGTTTGTGCCCGTCACCCGGGTCTTGCACGACCAGGGAATCAGGTACCGATGGGGGATGTCGCAAACCCTAGTAGTTCAGCATGGAGAGGCGATGAAGGTCCTATTGGCCTCTGACGACCACACCTCCACCTGCTCACACCACCCCTCCCTGAGCAGCAGGGGACAGCAGCACAGGCAGCAGAGAACCCCAGCTTGCAACAAAAACGCAGGTCCCGGCAAACAGAGGAAACAAGTCACCCGGGGCGGCGGGACCCCCCGTAGGTACCTGCAAATTGGAGGTCCCTCAGCAGCGATGGAGAGGCAAGAGGACCATGCAGTCATTCAGGGCAGTTTGAGCAGGCCCAATCAAAGGACTTACCATTACTCTGTAAACCAACACTGCCAAAGACATGGACTACCTCACGCTGATCTTACATTTTCCTAATAGACATTGGCAAACCACCCTGGAATACTAAAGTGGAGAATGTGACGGGTGAGCACCCAAGAATACCCCAAGCGGCGGGTGCACTGCCGGCATGTCCTTAACTCATGTGTATTAACACGAACTGCTAGACATTAGGAAGCCAGACAACACTTACCCTTACTTTACCAGAAGAGTTAAATCGACTCACTATTGTTAACTATTAGTCACCCAGAGCACAGTTTTCTAAATGCTACCTGGGTAGAAGCTTTTCACATGAGGGGCCCCAGGAGAGATAACAAGCTGCAGCTATGGGTTAACGAGACATGCTCAAGTAGTCGAAATAAACATAAGTGGCACCCACCCTCGCACTTATCCCCCATGTTTCTGTGGAACTAGAGTTACTACTACTTTTGCTGCACGACATTGAGGGATTTTGCTTTAGTTCCATACCTTATTTAACCTTAACATTAGAGTAAAGGTTAACCAGCAGCCACACATATGATATACCAGAACAGTAGAGGCTAGGTCTACCTGAGAAGAATTCTAGTGTTATTACTTTATTATAATATGTTATTTATCGTTATGCTTTATGGTGTTTATACAAGACTATTATCCTAAGTGGACAATCTAAAGATCTAACCTACACTGTCTCTTATCACTACTTACCCCTGCCCACCTTTGGACAGGACTTGTGATATCTTGCTAACCTATTGTATAAAATTGTGCAGGTTACACCTATGTCTGGAATTGCCAGCTGCTGCTGTTGGAGCACATCGGTCCTATTGTTTTAATAAAGATTGAAAAAAAAAATGGTGAGCAAAGAAATTATATTTAATGTTCAATCCTCGTTTGCACGGTTCTCTGAAAATCACCTTAAAAAACAACAATAAAATATAGTGCAATCCATCTGTATACAGTAAACAATAATATTTATAAAAAACATAGAGTGAGCAACTCACAAAGAATGAGTTGATTATGTGTTACTCTCACTAAACATCTCTGTAGGCATCAGGTTCCTTGTGAACGGTGGATCCTCTAGCAGTAATTAGCATAAATCCACAGACCGCTGGCTTTATGAAGTGACATTTAAAAAAAATAATAATTAAAGGAGCAAATGCACAGCCCACTGAGGATCAATCCGAGATACTTAAAGTGACACTCCAGGCAACCAGACCACTTCTGCCCATTGGAGTGGTCTGGGTGCCAACTCCCACCACCCTTAACTATGCAAGTATAATGATTGCAGTTTTTATAAACTGCAATAATTACCTTGCAGGGATAAGTCCTCCTCTAGTGGCTGTCTATTAAAAGCTAAGTTTTATTCATTCAACTTGGAAGTTCCTGGAGTGCTATCTTGTACTTTTGGCTGTATTCATATATATATATATATATATATATATCTGTCTATTAGACAGCCACTAGAGGGACTTTCGTGTTCTTAGAACACGAAAAGTGCTTTAAACAACGCTGGACGTCCTCACGATATGTGAGGACCTCCAGCTTCACCGAAAGACCCAAAGGAAAGTATTGAATAATGCTTTTCTATGGGGAGGCCTAATGCGCGTGCCCGGCCATTGCCGCGCATCCGCGTTAGGTCTCCCCCGCCGGCTGGGACATCGGACATCGGCGCTGGACTCCGGTAAGTCACTGCAAGGGTTTTAACCCCTTCAGCAACTTGGGATAGGGCGTGGGAGGGAGAGGGGCACTGTTGGGTCCTGCAGTGCCAGGAAAATGAATATGTTTTTCTGGCACTGGAGAGTCCCTTTAAATTATTAAATCACCAAAAGTGGCTCAAGACTGACCCATGTGTAGTCAGCATCCTCTCCTTCAACTTAGTCTTGTTCTCAGTGTGTCTGCATGTAACAGGATGAGTTTCGCTCCACCTCTCAGAGCAAATACAGAGTAAAGTCCGTCATACAGCCACTAGAGCCTTCACAGTGACAAATGTAAACATTGCCATTTTTAAAATATAGGGATAGGGTCTTTACACAAATCTACCACATTAAGATGTACTGGTATTGGTGTTTGTGGGTTTTTAATCTAATTTGTATGGGTAACCAAGGTATCCCATTTATAAATTGCCTTGGTGGTGGCAGCATTTGACATTAGAGTTATAAGGACACTCCAGACCTTTTAACCCCTTAGTGACTAGACCGTTTTTCAATTTTCTTACCGTTAAGGACCAGGGCTCTTTTTACATTTCTGCGGTGTTTGTGTTTAGCTGTAATTTTCCTCTTACTCATTTACTGTACCCACACATATTATATACAGTTTTTATCTCCATTATATGGTCTTTTTCAAGACTCCATTATTTTCATCATATCATATAATTTACTATAAAATAGTTATAAAATATGATGAAAAAAATTTAAAAAACACACCTTTTCTAACTTTGACCCCCAAAATCTGTTACACATCTACAACCGCCAAAAACCACCCATGCTAAATAGTTTCTAAATTGTGTCCTGAGTTTAGAAATGTTCTTAGCTTTTTTAGAAAAGTTATAAGGCTATAAGTACAAGTAGCACTTTGCTATTTCCAAGCCATTTTTTACCCAAAATTAACGCAAGGTACATTGTAACACTGATATCTGTCAGGAATCCCTGAATAACCGTTCACATGAATATATTTTTTAAAAGAAGACAACTTGGGGTATTTTGACTCTTTTCATGCAACCATTTTACCACCAATCTATGCCAAATTTAAAAAAAATAAAAATAATTTGTGATTTTTTTGACACATAGAAATTTAAGAATACATGTACGGAGAACTTTAAGGGTTACTGCCAAAGAACACCCCGATATGTGTTCAGCAACATCTCATGAGTACAGTGATACCTCCCATGTTTAGGTGAGTTGGGTTCTCTGGGGGCTAAAAGACCTTATTTGGAGGGTGGTATTTTTATTTTAAACACTTTTTTACTGTGAATGAAATGGTGGTATTTTAACACTTTCCATTCACTAATTCTACCACCCGTCTTTGTCAACCTTTTGGGTAGTTATTTTTTTGTGTTATTTTTCACACACATTGTACTTTAGGCATGGATTCTCAGCTCCTGTTATGTATTACTTTCAAATAACACCACAATATGTGTTCAGCAACATCTCCTGAGTACAGAGATACCACCCATGTACAGGTGTGTCGGATTCTCTGGGGCCTAAAAGACCCTATTTGGAGGGTGCACACTCCAGTTTTACTAACTTGGAATTTTCACAGCTGGTCATCATGCAACCATGTCCTATTTGGGATATTTTTCAAGCCGGCCAATGTAATTTACCCCCATATAACCATATATTTTTGAAATGTAGACACCCTAGGGTATTTCAATGGTGGTATTTTAACACTTTCCATGCACTAAATCTACCACCAGTCTTTGTCAAACTTTTGGGTAGTCATTTTTTTGTGTTATTTTTCTCTCACATTGTACTTTAGGCATGGATTCTCAGTTCCTGTTATGTGTTGCTGACAAAGAACACCCCAAAATGTGTTCAGCAACATTTTCTGAGTACAACAGTGCCCCCAATGTACAGGTTTTATGGGTTTATGGAAAGTTACAGGGTCAATATAGGGCTTGCCCAATTCAGTTTGCAAGATTGGTTTGCTGGGTCTGTGTTGCCTTTTGAGACCATATGGTAGCACAGGAATGTGAAATACCCCATCATGGCATACCATTTTCAAATGTAGCCAACCAGGGTATTCCAAATGGGGTATGTCTAGTCTTTTGTAGTGGCAACTTAGCCACAAACGCTTGGCCAAAGTTAGCCTTTTTATTTGTTTTTTATAAATGTTTTTTATTTCTATTTATATTATATATAAATATATATATATATATATATATATATATATACATATATATATATCTGTGATACAGACTGAAACGTTGATTTTTATTTTGAGCTAATAAAAGCTAAGTTTTATTCATTCAACTTGGAAGTCCCTGGAGTGCTATCTTGTACTTTTGGCTGTATTCATATATTTATATATATATATATATATATATATATATATATATACACACACATATATACATATAATACATGTGTATATAATACGTATGTGTGTGTGTGCAGAATGATAGAATGACTGTAAATCTGTGCTTAAGCCAGCATGTCTGAGGTGCCTAAACCAGCCATGTTTGAGGGGGCATGTGGAAGTGTGAGAGGATGGCCTGGCTGGGAGAAGGAACATGTGTCTATGCCTGAACCAAGGGTTTCCAAGATGTCATGTGAAAATGTGCAGGAAAAGTCTTCTGGGGAAAAAGGGCTGAATGAGTATATGTACAAATCTGTGCCTGAAAAAGATGCACCTGAGGTGCTGTATGGAAATATGGAGGAATCAGATGACTGCTAGAGAGGTTGGTGAGTAAGTGAGTATAACTCTGTGCCAAACTCAGCCAGTTCCCAAGGTTCTGTATGTGTGAGGACAACAAGAGAAAGTGAGGGAGAGACAGAGGTTTGGTCCGTTCACTATCTGTCCAGAGTAAGGGTCAGAGATGGACTCAATATGTAGTTCTAGGAAGTTCCTTTTTTATGCAGCCTGTCACACCTCCTTGCATGTGACTTATACAGCCTTCCTTAACAATTCCTGTAAAGTGAGATAAAATGTTTTCACTTTCTTCGCTGCAAATTCTGTTTAATTTAAAATTCCTTACCTCATGCACTACTAATAGCTTGCTAGATCTTGCAGGAGCCTCCTGTGTGTGATTAAACTTCCATTTACAGAGCAGGAAATAAAAACTTCTAAAAAAAAAAAGGAGTCAGGCAACTTTAGGCCAGTAAGCCTTACTTCAGTAGTGGGGAAAGTAATGGAAACCATGTTAAAGGATAGGATTGTTGAACATCTAAAATCACATGGATTTCAAGATCAGAGACAACATGGGTTTACTTCAGGGAGATCATGCCAAACTAATCTTATTGATTTTTTGATTGGGTAACTAAAATTATAGATCAGGGTGGTGCAGTAGACATTGCTTACCTAGATTTCAGTAAGACTTTTGACACTGTTGCACATAGAAGGCTTAT